CGGAGCGACTTACATTTCATTACCTAAAGAACTAGAACTTAAAACTGCAATTATCAACGTTCAAAACAAAAATGATTCTGAGTGCATTCGCTGGGCATTGAGAGCTGCTTTAAAATCATATCAGACTACGTCAAAAATCAGTTAGAAACTAATCCAAATTATAAGATACACGAGGATAGAACTAAAACTTGCACAACAGACGACGGCTTAAATTTTGCAAACGTGGACTTTCCCACACCCATGTTGCAGATTCCACGCATCGAATCACAAAACAATTTAGCTATTAACATACTTGGTTACATGAGCAAGGACGGCAAATATATACTTTACAAAACTAAACGCATTGGTGAGCCCGTCAATTTACTCTATTTTACCCGAGGTGAAACGGGCCATTACTGTTGGATTAAAAATGTCTCTCGGTTGATGGGCGACGTCAACAAGCATGACAGCAAATCGTATTGGTGCTTCAATTGCCTGTCTCACTTTCTATAGAAAGAAAGATTCAGCAGAAACCAAGAAGATTGTCAAGGAATAGACATGGCGCCTTGTAAAGTAGAATTACCTATCAAGTGTCAAAATATTCTCAAGTTTGAAAATTACAAAAATAAGCAAGACACCCCTTTCATCATCTACGCGGATTTTGAATCTGTTTTGGAGCGTCTCTCGCCAAAACCATCAAACACGGTCAAAGTACAGCACCCAAGCCATGCGGCTATTCTTATGCGATCGTTAAATGTGACGGTATTTGTACCAGTTGCAAAAACTACAGAGGCCAAGACACGGCCGTTAAATTTGTGCAATCGCTGTCCAGAGAAGTTGACGCGATCAACAAAACATTTGCCGATCCAAAGCCCCTTGTTTGGTCGCCCGAGCTACAGAAACTCCACAACAAACGCAACGACTGCTGGATTTGCGAAAAGCCAATTTACCAAACCAAAGAACCTCAGTGTCGATGCGAAATTCCGGACGAGCCAAAAAATAAAGGCAAAAGGGTGGCTTTTAGTTCCTTAAAAGATCGGGGTTTCAGAGACAACATTTGCATGACTTGCGAAAAGCCCATCTACAAGTTTTGCAAAGTCAGAGATCACTGTCACGTAACGGGCAAATATAGGGGTCCTGCACACGCTGTAATTTAAAACTACGAGTGGTGCCCAATCAGATGCCAGTCCCCTTTATTTTACACAACTTGGAGAAATACAACGTGCATTTAATTATGCAAGGAGCTTGAGCATTCGACGGTGGTAAAATCAACGTCATTGCCCAAAACACCGAAACTTACATTTCGTTTAGCCTCGACCAACTCAGATTCCTCGACTCGTTTCATTTCATGGCTGCATCACTCGATAGATTGGTTAAAAATTGTTCTCCGGAAGATTTCAACCTGCTCTGTGCAAGGTTCCCAGACAACTTGGACTTGCTTTTAGAGAAAGGAATTTATCCTTACGAGTACATAGACTCCTTTGACTGATTTGAAGAAATCAAACTGCCTCCTATAGACGCTTTTTATGGCTCGTTGAAGCAGCAAACCGTACGCAAAGAAGAATATACAAGAGCCTGACACGTGTGGCAAGCTTTCGACTGTCAAAATCTCGGAGACTACCACGATCTATACGGATACTTTGCTTTTAGCAGGCGTATTTGAAAATTTTCGTAAAGTCTGTAAGAAGAAGTACTGTTTGGACCTGGCCACATTGACAAGCACCTATTTTTCGAAAGGGCCAAAAGAGGCGGCATTTCGAGTGTCGGGCCGAAATGTTTTGCCCAAGCTAATAATCCAGATTTAAAAGACTACGATCCAAATATTCAGACGTCTTACATCATGTATCTGGACGCAAATAACTTGTATGGTTGGGCCATGAGTCAACCGTTACCCGTAAGAAACTTTCGATAAACAAAAGACATGGCCAAATTTACTCCCAGGTAAATTTCAAAACTTTCACCGAAAGCGTCGAAAGGCTATATGCTCGAAGTAAGGGCCGGCGACCATTTAGACCCGGTTTGAAAAGGGCCCCCTGGTAGCCCACCCTGTATAATGCCTGCCCGCTATTCAGGCTACTCCAGGCCGGTATCAGGCCTGTCTGCACATTGGCATTTCAAAGTCCCTGATGAAAGGCTTCTCCCACCACGCTTCCACAAATGAAAAGGGGTCTAAGCGAATTAGTGTAAACATTGTATAGAGCTGAAGGATTAAAAACCACAAGCAGG